TGATACCTGCGGTTGATGCTTCTTGCACTTGGACCACAGAAAAATAAGCTCAAATGTCTCATAGTGAGGAAATGTTGCACAAACCCTTCGTCTTATGCTTGATTAGGGCACATGAAGCCTCAATATTCTTCTACCTCGCATAAGAAACAGATGCACGAGGAAGGCTTGATTTTTGGCCCTAGAATGGTCGAGATGCTCGGGACCATGTGTCTGCACTCAAAAGGTTTTTAGCGAGCCACTCATGCATATGTCACATTCATTCCATTATCATAATGGAAGGAAACGATGCACCGAGCGATATCGGAGGAGAAAGCCCAAACTACAAAGAAACACAATATTATTGTTGAACTGAAAGAGCTTACAAACACGACACTTGGAAAGCTTAAAAAATTGATAAACAAACACAAACATAAAAATAAAAGATATCCGCTGGTGAGAATGAGGATGGAGAAGTGCTAAACAACTATGGGGGAAGAGCAGGAGGGCTGCAGGGAGGTGGTCGATGAGGAGGACAGCGATTGGAAGGAGTCCCGAGGTGAAGCAACAGGGCTAGCAGCAGTGGAAGAGTGGCTGCGGTGGCTGGATGAGTGCAGGCCGGTGATTGGCAGCGGGAAGGAAGGAGCGGCAATGGTTGGAATGATGGAATGACAATAGGAAAACAAATGTACGGTAAGATAAATGCCTCGGCGGGTCGAGATACAGCTGGAACACCACTCAGGACCTTAGAGAAGATCACCACCTAGGACGAGGGACAACAGGAGCACTATCTCGACGTTAGATATAGTTCTCGAAGGGAAAATACCATGGTTAGAACTTAAATTCAGATATCGAAACAATACCCTAACTCTAAGCACATCATCCTCTATTTATAATGAGGCTAGGACTATTTTAGACAATACTTAAAATAAGAAAAAAGAATCAAAGCAAAATTTTAAATTTAGATAACGAAACAATGTAAGAGAAAATTAGATTTAGGGAAGGGTAAATAAAGTAATCAAAATTCAGATTTTGGAAAGGATTTAAAATAATAAAAGAGAATAAAATCTGATTTTAGATTTTTGGACAGACATTTAAAATAAAAATTAATAATAAAATCAGATCTCAGAATTTAGAAAAGAGGAATAAAAATATTCAGAAATTTTAATTTGGAAAGACTTATATTAGGAAGGTGCTAAGAAGGAAAGAGGGGAAGGGGAGAGAAGGAAAAGGGAGGAGCAGTATCCCCCCTCCCCTTTGAGGAACAGTTGTTCTCCATAGCCCTCGCGTCAGTCCCCCGGGGTTGGGTGAGCTTCAACGTTATAGGTCGATGCTTTCGTGTCGTTGTCAGTCACCCCCCTTGGATCTCACTGGCGACCATAAGTAGCCCAATGTTGGCGAATTGTTTCTTCTACTGTCACTAGCTTTCTCCCATTGAGGTTGTCCTTGTTCTTGTAGGCAAGAATATAAAGCCATGCTAAGACTGCCTAGAGCCCATTCTTCTCACGAATATGATCTGAATCTGTCCCAAAACTTTCTTCACAACAAACCGAATAAACTTCAGCATCCATCAAGTTGCCATAGAATTTCCATTCAATTGGCACCTCAAAAAAGTTCAGATTTAGATTATTTGCTATAGTGTCAAGTGCTGCAGAGGTTGGCATGCTTATGGCAGCACCCTTCAGCCCAGAAGAAAAGTAAGGAATGGACTGAACAGCGTTAGCAGTAATGATTGCAACAAAATCAGACGGAGTCTTAAAGAATCTTTTACTAAGTAACATGTTACGATCAACATCACCATCAACAGCTACACCAAACTCAGGGGGTTCATCTTGCTCTTTTGATTTGCTCAATCCCATCCTACCAACTAATTCCTTTGCACAAGTCAGGTTAGAGTCTGGATGGCCCCCACCAAAGTCTTCCTTAGGAGTGCAATTTAACATGGAGCTTTCTTTAGCACTAAGTTCTTCAACAAAAATGTGGTTGTCTTAAGCTACAACAATACCATGAAGTGCATCATAGTAGAACTAAAAATTGGAGAAGCGCGAAGCTTTAGGATTGATGAAAAATAAAAAAATTGATCTCTTTCTCGATCCGTTCTGGTTTGGCATAATCTGAGCCGAAGGTACACCACCATGTAGGTTCTCCTGGGTCAAATTCCAAACAAGTAAATGTCTCATATGCTTTTCATCTATGACAAGTTGGGCCTCAATGAGGTTGGGGTTTTGCAACTGTTTGGTTGATATGTGATTCTTATTATCTTTCAGTTTTTTCCTCTGACTCTTGAAGTTTTGGAAAAGTGACATCTTTTGTTGCATTCTAATAACAAGAGCTTTACATTGACTTTTCGTCTCTTCATATGGAATACTAGGGGTGAGGGTTAGAAGTGTAGCTGCTTGTGATGCTATTAGTTGTTCTTTAGTAAGGCATTCCACTGAAATTTGACAACTTCTGGTCTGTGTGATTTTTATGCCTCAACAAAAAGTTCTCCATTTTCTAGGAGAGCAGGAACCACAATCTCATCAAAAGTTGCATGTTCCTTTTGATCACATGGAGAAAGGGCATTGGATGTTTCCACGAACAAGGGAGTTCCACGAGAGAAGACACCATCCGATGAAAAATCTCATTTGAACTGCTCTCAGTGTTTGTTGTATCTTTACCCAACTTTTCGATGACGCCATATTCTATGAAGTAGATCACTCCCCTTGTTGTGGATTCTGCTTCATCATGTCCAAATCCATGACACATGCAACATCATCTGGCAGTGACAGACTTGCGGATTAGTTTTGTTGGATAGTAGCAAGGGGGGTCACTTGGAGATACAGTCTCTCAACTTCGGAAATTAGAGCCTCTTCACTTAGTAAGTTGGTAAGAAATGATGCTATGTTTCTTGTTTCATCTTTAAATTTTCTCGTTCTTCCCTTCAACCTTATAAATCACGGTCGAGGGTATCTTTCCACTGGATTTCCTCTTCAATATCAATGAGCCTCCACTGAAGACGGTGAAGCTCTCGCCATATCTTGTCCCGGGTAGGCTCGGACATAATTCTCCTTGGTGGCATTTTTGACGTTTTGGGGTTTGTGGAAGGAAAGAAAAGTAGGAACAAAGAAAGAAGAGAAAAAATAAACAAAATTAAGTAAAAAAAATGGTGTGGTGGACTGAGTAGAATTGGATGCTAGAAACCCTAGGTTGGGATTAGGATTGGGCTAGCTCTAATACCAAAATGATATTGGAGGAGAAAACCCAAACCACAAAGAAACACAATATTATTGCTGAACTGAATGAGCTTACAAACACGACACTTGGAAAGCAGGAAATACCTACAAACAAACATAAACAATAAAAAATTTTTGCGGGTGATGACAAGGATGGATACTGTGAGATGGTGGTATGAGAAGGCTGCAATTACGACAGCAACAAGAGAGGGTTACGATGCTTTACAACAGTGCAGAACAACTGCGGGGAAGAGTAGGAGGGCTGCGATGGTTGGAGGAGTGATGGACAACCGCGGGGAAGAACAGAAGGTTTGCGTGGAGATGGTAGATGAGAAGGACAGCGACTGGAAGGAGTCCTGGGGCGAAGCAGCAGGGCTGGCAGCAGTAGAAGTGAGCCTGCGGTGGCTGAATGAGGGCTGGCCGGTGATTGGCTGTGGGAACTGCGGTGGCTGAATGAGGGCTGGCCGGTGATTGGATGTGGGAAAGGAGCCGCGGTGGCTGGAAGATGGAATGGAAGCAGGAAAATGAATGTACGGTAAGATAATTGCCTCGGCGGGATAGAGATACAGCCGGATCATCACTCCGAAACCTTGGAGGCGATCACCACCTCGGACGAGGGACAGCTGGAGCACTACCTCGACGTTGGATTCAACCCGCGAAGGGAAACCACCAAGTTTAAGATTTGAATTCGGATATCAAAACGAGTCCCCTAACTCTAAGCACATCATTCTCTATTCATAATTAGACTAGGTCTTTGTTTTAGGCAATACTCAAAATAAGAAAGAAGAATCAAATCAGAATTTTAGATTTAGATAAAGAAATAATGGAAGGAAAAATCAGATTTAGGGATAGTAAATAAAGTGATCAAAGTTCAAATTTTGGAAATGACTTAAAATTAGAAAGGAATAAGAAAGGAGAATAAAATCAGAATTTGGAAAGAACTTAAAATTATAAATGATTTAATATAAGAAAGGAGAATAAAATCAGATTTTAGATTTTGGAAAAGGCTTTTAAATTATGAAGTAAGAATAAAATCATATCTTAGAATTTACGAAAGAGGAATAAAAATATTCAGAAATTCTGATTTGGAGAGACTTATGCTAGGAAGGTGCTAAGCAGGAAAGAGGGGAAGGTGAGAGAAGAGAAAGGGAGGAGCGGCAAACCCCCTCCCTTTGTGGACCGGTCAGTCCTCATAGCCTTTGCGTCTCCGGGTGACCCGCTTGTCTCCTCCTTTTTTCTTCTTCTCTTCCTCTAGCTCCTTCTCTTCTTCTTCTACTCTCTTCTTTTTCTTCTTTCCCGATTTCTTTCCCTCTGTCTTTCATGCTCTCTTTTTCTCTAACTCCCTCTCACTCACATTCCTTTTGTGGTTGGAGACTTCCTGATCACACTTGTCTTAACCGTAAATTCATCTTTTTAAGTTAATTAATTGCTTTTTTTTAACAGGTTCTTATTACATTTTAATTATTCCCGAGCTGGTTCATACTGTTGAAAACTTCATTCTTGGATGCAGAATGAGCTCTCATTATTGGACGTCACCACTGTTAAATTTTTTTAGTTTGTTTGAAAAAAAAAGTTTATTCTCGAGTATGTATGTGACAGCAGCCTACTCAGGCCCATTATATGTTCCCATTGGCTGATCTATTTTGCTATTTACATGGTTCAGTTTATTCTAATTTCTGCCTTATACTGTTGTTTGACAGCCTCGAGTAGTTGACTGATCATTCTTTATGCTTTCCTAGCTTTCCAAAATCCTTTTATCTTATTATTTTTATGTTACAATTGATTAGAAAATGTGATTATGGTTGTTAGGTATAATCCGTTTGATGATTCATACCATGATGACATGGATGGTGATGGTTTGATATGTCTAGCCATTGACATTCTTCCAACTGAGTTCTCAAGGGAGGCATGGCATCTAAACTTATTTTTCGTACAAAATATGTCTGCAAATGTCTTGTCATTTACTATTGTGTACCAGAGCAACTTACTTTTAAGCTCCTTTTATGCAGTCTTCCCAGCACTTTGGAGATATACTCTCACAATTCGTTGTTAACTTGGCCTCAGCCAAGAACATGACAGAGCTTCCACCGCACTTGCAAAGAGCTTGCATAGCTCATGGAGGAGTACTTACCTCCTTGTATGAATATATTCCTCGAATGAGAAACTCTTTTACGACGTAAGGAACTTTTGCACTTCCTTGATGATCCTTGAAATACTATTGGAATATTCTGCATAAGGAATTTATTTTGATTACTCTGACAGGCAGACAAACAGACAGACATACATACATATATATATATATATGTATACATACATATATATACATGTATAGATACATATATATACATGTATACATACATATATATATATATATATATATATATATATATACATATAAATATATATAGCTAGATAGATATATAGAAGGCTTCTTTGATACCTTAACACGGTGAAGCTACAAAAATTTCTAATTCATGGTTGTACTGATGTCATGGTAACATATAAAGAAATTTATGTAACTTGGGAATAATGTTTAACAACTTGAGAATACCAAATTATTCTAGATGTTGATTTTATCAGATGCGAATCTAGTGATAAGTTATGATTTTTAGATACAGATGATTGGATAGATGAACAAAGCAGGATGGAGATTAGGGTTGTGAGTGAAGCATGACCCAGACAATCTAGTAGGTATTTTGGAGCATGGAAGATTAAGTTCATCAAGCAGGCGAACGGTGCAACCGACAAATTAGTATGCAATACATCATAGCGGTTTTGAGCATGACAAATGTATGAAAAGTACATGGAAGGGTAAACATTAGCGAACAGGGCATGGGACATGAGCGGCATACTAAGCATAAGCATGAGTGGTTGGTTATTTAATGAGAGATTAAGGCTCTTATATCAAAATGACTGTCAAATAGGAAATGGAGGGAAGAGAATTGAAATTCATCAATATGGTAAGAGGAGAGAGAATGTTAATGGAAAAAATTATTTTCATTTCATTCATAATTTGATCAAATATAAGCCATGAATCCACTAATTATAGAAATGGGATTACAAGATAAAATAAAATTTAATCCTGTCCTGTGTTGTGTAATCTAATCTTTACATATATTTAAATTTTTCCCTTAATTTAACATGCAATTAATGCACAAATTTTTGTAAGACTAAAATAAATACCGAAATACAGGAAATTTAAAAAACCTAATTTTCTTGTTTCATGATTTGTAACTTAATTCTTGTTAGGTGTTAACCAATAATTACAATTAAATATAACATTTAAATTATATATTTTTATTTCTACTAAATGAAAATGACATTAAGACCTATATCTTGAAAATATTGTGTTACAAATTTATGCATTGATACCAAATCTGATGCATGATGCCTTTGGATCAAGAGTTTCTAATTCAGACCTTATGTGATGCACTTATCTTTGCAACAAACATGCAAGATTTATTGGTCCCTAGGTATTAATCCAATACTATTGCTTACTTTCTTTGATAAAGCAAATGACTGAGCCAAATTTAGACTACTGATATATTGATTTATAATAGAAATAAATGATTGGAATTTGGAGCAAAAAAAACTTTGCATGCCAACTGAAATTTCATATAATTGGCAGAAATCTAGTTTGTAACTAGCTTGCTTAAATAAAATAACCCTTTCAACAAATAAGGAAAAAATTAAAAGAAGATAGAGGAAAAAAATATATTAAATTTGGGAAAGAATCAAATAAAAGAGAAAGCCTCATACTTGTAGAATGAGACAACCTTTCTTATAATTTTTTTGGCTCACACTTAATTATGGTACTAAATCCTAGATGGACAAGAATTTATGCATCCAACGCGGTTCTTTTCTATTTGTCATAGGATAGTAACGTACCAAAAAAATACTCATAGTTATGTGAAGAAATGAGCCATTTGTTTTGTATACCATCCCTAGAATGCATTTCTTTAAGAGCAACAATTAGTAATTGCTTATTAATGGCTAATTGAGTTTATACATTCCCACATGAATAGCAATTCCTTTGAAATTCCATTAGTGTATCAAGAGTTATAGGAGGAAGATGGACCCGAAGTCCACCTTATGTTCTAGAAGGATATTCTTGAAGGCAAATAGCTAGTCTGTAAAATAATATATCTAGTCTGTAAAATAACAATATATTATAACTGCCACTTACTAAATTTCTTCAAAACCTAACAATGTAATAATTCTAATAAATAGAAAATAAACTTGAATACTTTCTAAAAATTATGAAATGTATTTTGAATCATTCTAATCAATTTTTCCATGTTTTTGTCATCTTTGAGACTAACATCGATTTAGGGTTCCTAGATGTTGTATAAGAATAATAAAGTAAAAACCTGAGAGCAAAAAGGATTTAGAAGGGGAGACAAGGTAATAGCTGCAGTTTTTGTGAAAAAACAGTTAGGAGACAAAGCTAGCGCTAGGAATGAGGAATACGGTCAACCTGGGGGATCCACTACTAATTCCCGATCAAATTATGACACATCATTTGAAGGAAGATGAGGCTATAACATTCTACACTATTTATAAACCAAATGAAGATTACACAGGATAGGCTCCCAATCAACACGCCTGATGACTGAGTTGATGTTCTAAATTTTCTCTAGTTTGACAAGCTTTATCGATGTAGACTAAAGAAGACTTCCTAGTGATTCGAGAAGTCTATGATTAGATCAATAATATCAGCCTAATAAGGTCTTTACTTTAAATGCAAGATTCTTTCTCTTGTGATGGGCATAATCATTGTAAAGTATAACTTGAGGAGTTCCCAGCAAAATCAATGCTCCCTAAGATGAACTAAGCAAATAATGTGAAATTATACCCTGATAATGGCTACATTTTTTGTATATCATAATTTAAGTGGTTATAAAAAACATTGAAACTCCCCACCACAAATTAAGAAGATGATGACTTTGAGACTTTTATGACCTTAAGGCTATTTAAAATATAAAAGCCAGATGGGTCAACATCTGCATGACTTTCAAATGATAAAAATGTTAAGCCCTTGAAGGTTGATTTTTGATTGGTTAAAAAGCTTCAAAAGTCATGAAAAAAGAATTCTGAAGCTTGCGAATTTTTAATAAGCTGAGTTAAAATAGTAAAAAAAATGGACATTTCACTAGCATAGTGCTAGGTTAGATACAAAAGGTCTTGCTTTCAGAGCTGTTGATAGTCTTTCTTGTCAATAAGTTAGAAGACAATTGTACAGGGCAGTCCTCCACTCAACACGCCTGATAGTCAATCTGGTGTTCCAGAGCTTCAACAATTTGGTAGGCTTCATCAATGCAAACTTTTGAAAACTTTCAAGTGGTTCAAGTCGTTTAATGATTAGATTGAAGGTGCTATCTAACATGTTCTCAACTTCAAATCAGTGATTCGTACCCTTGTTAAAGGCATTGTTATTGGAGATAATAATTAGAGTCAACTAAAATACTTCAAATCCATTATCATGATGGATTTGATTATTACATTATCATAACTATATGAGTTCATTTCCATAGTCAAACTATTAATTACAAAGAAAATTGATCTTAATCCCTTATTTCTATGATGGATACGATCATTACAAATCTTAACGGGAGAGAATCTTTGTTACGAAATTGCCTCCAAAATTAGAGGCAAATGTTTTTATGGCACCCTGCCTTCGTGGAATTTCCCAATATACAGGCCTTCTTCAAATCTATGGGATGTAAGCCTCAAACTATAATCCAATTCATGCTACAATATTATGTTGGGGAAACCAAAGATAAGTGCCATATATAAATAAAGTCATTTGGATCTGATCCACCACAAGCAATACAAGTCGACATACCCATTTAACATAATTGTTTTTACGTAAAAATTAAAATTAATGGTGAAGTTGGGCAGCTCTTAAATTGTTAGGATGTAAGTGCCAACATTGAGCTTGATCCTTGATGATCAAATAGTAGAGTTGGCAAAGCTCATGATAATAATGCTCCTTTCAAAATAAAAGCATGCACGCTCTTGCCTTAACTACCCTACGTTACAAAAATAAAATTCTTAACTCTAAATTCTGATGTACGTATCTGCTTTTTTCCTCATAATGTGTTTATTTTTCCGAGCTATCATAATTGGACGAGATCCTATTATAAAAATGACATCTCTAAATCTAAGGAAAATATATTTTGTACTAAGTAGATCATTGCATGGGCTACCTATATATCCCTAAATTTTGAATTCAATTTAGAGATTTATTTTTAAAATACAGAAGGAACCTCAACAATGTGTGCCAAAGATGCTGAAACTAAACTTGATGGATCTATAACCAAATCTGCATATCTGTTTTCTGCAGCATTGTTTATCAACATCTTTTTTTTATGCTCTATTTCTCTAACTCTACTTTTATTACACTTTCAGAGATTTGATAATGGAAACTGGTGATGGTTCCTCTGGCAAGAGGAAGTACAGTACACTGGTACATTATTTCCTTCACCATTTGTCTGGCAATATTATATATGTATTATCTATAACAGTTTATTTTTTCATTAAAATGGATCTTTATCTATATGCATGCAAGTTTGGATGGATGGCCAGATCCACTCATAACTCTTATTTTTTAATGCATGCTTGTGAATTATTAAAATGGAGAACTTTCTTTAGTTTTCACGCTTCCATAGATCTTATTTTGTGTAGATCTTAGAATAGCTTTGAGATTCCCTTGAACATAACATCTCTTGTTGAACAGGTATCTCTAAGTGGCCATTTGTTTGATCAATTTTTAATTAATGAAGCTTTGGACATTGTTGAAGCTGCTGGTGGATCTTTTCGCCTGGTTAAATGCGAAGTTGGTCAAAGCACAGATCTCATGTCCTACTCAGAACTTGAAGTAAGCTATATTATTCCAAATCATCATTGTTGATTTCTATCAAAAATTGTAATTGGCTTTTAACTGTCCTGAAACTGCTATGTTAGTGGTATTAATGTAATACTGCTATGTACTTCAGCATACTGTTGATATGTCTCGGTTTTCATCTCTATCTTGCAAAAAAATGATGCCTTTTTGCAGTATTTTCAGTTACGACTCATGTAAAGCATACAAGGGCTTACCTGCAGGGTCGTCAATCTGCACAAGACTGTTTTCCTCCTTCAACATGATAATATTTCTTTATTTTCATGATTCATTAACCAAACACGACATACATCTGCAAAGTTCATAATGCACACCATTGTTAATTTGAAATTTTGTCTGCAGTGGTGGGTAATTTTGAGCTGAATTACTTGCTTGCCTTCCAATTGAACTCTAGTTTTATGGATTAGTCTACCCGTGTTTGAATGTGCCACAATTATGTGGAAGTAGAAAGCAAGTTGGAAGCCAGAGATCCAGAGAAACACAATATTGCAAATAGATTTAACTGTCACTTTGTTATCATAATTTTAGTTAAAAAAGTGCATTTAAATTTCAATCTATAATTGACTGATATCCTAACAACATTAATATGGGTAACTTCTAAAAACATTTGATGAGAAGCTATTGTTTACCACACACTGTCATAAGCGATCACGGGCATAAAAATGATATATTTGGCCATAGGTAAAATTTGCAGACATTTATGGTTAGGATTAAAGTAATAGCTTTTATGTGAGAAAAGGGTATATTATATCATATAAGTGTCGATTAAAACAAAATAAAATAGAATTAAGGGAAATTTACATGCATACCCACACAATTCTTATGTATTTATACATCTAATACCCAAAATTTGCTATTTACACAGCTTAGTATCATAAACTTTTGCATAAGGTGTATTTCACTATTAAAAAGGAAGGATTGGTGGTATTTTTTGTGTCAAAGATTTGAGTGGTTTGCATGTAAATATGAATGTTTGGATGTAGAAATGCAAATACATAAGAATTGTGTGGTATGTTTGTAAATACCACTAAAATTAAAACATAGAAATAAACAAGCAGCTTTCGATATCCCATTCGCACATGAAACCCCTCATGTGCAAACCTAGAACTAAACAAGCAACTCTTGATATCATTAATTTTTTGTTAATTTTTTGGTTAATTATAGAAGATAATCAATTGTCCAATGTTAGTGATTTTTTATTAGTAGTTAGATTTATAAGTACAAATACTAATGGGGTGGCTCTGCGGACGGAAGTCACCACTTTTCGTAGCGGGCTGGCTGAGGCATTGCACGAGCTAGGAGAGCTTTGTGAGTTGACCATCCTGGGAAAGCTCCATTGCGAAGCTAACTGAGTGTATCATATTAGGTTAGGCAGAGAGATTATTCTCATAAGGTTGACTCAGAGGGGGTATGTCCCGTCATGAGGCCGTGGAAGACCCTTTCATAAAGCACTTTGTTCGAGATTTGTAATATTGTTATTTGCAATAAAATGTCATATAAATAAATTCAAAAGGATGTTTGGTGTGATAACTATAATTATGTGATATCTTGTTTCATGCGCCCCCCCTATAAATAGGGCGAGGCACTGTTTTTTTCCCTTTAAGCATTCTGATTTTTTTTCTTTTCCTTGTGCCCTAGGTTCTTCTACTCCCGTCTCTCGGTTGTTTCTTATTCCTTGCGTTGGCTCCCAACTACTTCACCCTTTTCAGTTCTATTGAAGGTGCCGATCTTTCGTTCTTGACGGAGAACGATGTAAATGAGTTATAGAGGAAATATGTTTTTCACTGCAGTATCGCCCTCCGTAGGATGTTGGGATCGGAACGTGCGACGGACGAAATGAGGATTTGGTCTTTTATCAGGACCAGTTCATGTAGGTCTCCGGTTGCCCTTGCGCGATGAGCTCCAGAGCGTCTTTAATACACAAGTGTTTGCCGAACTCGATAACTACAATAATGACCTTGATTCTTTTCTGTCGTCAAGAGAGCATTTCATGATCGATCGATCTTTTTAAGCAATTCTTCTCGTTCAAGATTGATAAGAAGGGCTTTGCCATGTTTTTGGCGGGCAATGAACTCCATCAATCTGGAGTGGAGAATAAGATGAATGATTGGAAGAAGAAGTTTCAAGCTGGTTTTTGCTCTGGTGACTGAGATATCAAGACTAAGCCATCTGAGCAAGTGGTGGACAACCGAGATCTCTTCCCTCGAGTATGGACGTCGCCAAGGCAATGTTGGCTGGCTGTCATCTCTCGGTCCCGCGGTACTCCGCCGAGACAACAGTTATTCGTGTGTTAAAGGGTAAGATGACCGAGGAACAATGACGCCTTTCTGATTTTGACAAGGCTGTCCGAGCGAGGGCGGCGGTACTCCGCCGAGACAACAGTTATTCGTGTGTTGAAGGGTAAGATGACCGAAGAACAATGACGCCTTTCTGATTTTGACAAGGCAGTCCGAGCGAGGGCGGTGAAGGAGAAGCTTGCCGCCAAACACCAGAAGCAGAAGCATCACCTGCGGTCAGGTGATTTCGTAGGAGATGAGGACCCGCCTCCTTATAGTGTGGCCTCAAGATACCTTACCTTCGTGTCTGAAACTACGGTTGTTGTTTATGATACGTTGACTGGCAAGGTTACTACTATTCCTCCAAAATATGCTTCTCATTTAGTTGATGCAGAGGAAGGTGACGAGAGAGAATCTGTTTCTGAAGGGACTCCAAATGAAACCGCATTCGCAACTCCCTCTTTCTTGAAAGCTGGCGCTTTGACTGGCGTTTCACCAACTGTCGCCGTTTCGCCGGATTTGCTGGCTGGGGATACCTCGTTCGTTGCCTTGTCCAAAAGAACCAAGGCTGACTGTGCCACTTATGTTGCCTCTTCTAGATCCTCATCGGGAGAGTTGACTTCGCATTCCGACGATGAGGCCTCGTCTCCCCTTAGGGAAAAGTCGTCCGTTGGCGTGGGAAGGTGCTTATGAAGGAAATAGACGTCCTACGTCCCTCTGCTTTGAAGAGCAGTAAGGAGGCTTTCGAGTGGGAGCCTATGCATATGGATTCTAGGAGTACATGGCTCAAATCCAACAAGCAGTTGGTCTGCTTGATCGGTCTTTGGATTGGTACCCGCAAACAGGTGACAACAGGAGCTTCACAGCTCTGTTAAATCTTCCGTGGTCTGAGGAACTTGGTTGTACCCTGGGAGACTTCCGCCGCCGTAAACACCTCCAGAATGTGGATCTGTGGCAATTGATGGCATCGCAGAGGGCCCATTTTTTGGTTTGTTCATGATCGAATTGGAAGAAGCTCTGGATGAGGCTCTAAATTAGGAAGATTCACTGGAGACAGATATTAAGAGAACCCACGATGACCGGGACCTTCTGAACAAATTTGGCAATTTTGACAAGGTTAACCATGGATCCATTAGGCACTATAGCGGCCTTGAAGAAGGAGATTGCTAAATTGAAAGAGAAGATCACCTCGTTGGTTTCCAAGGAAGAACATGAGGATGGCTTGGCGAGTCGTCTCTTGCATGGAGGGTGGATTATGTCGTCCAACGATTCATCCACCACGGTTTGGTCGACCCCAAATTTTCCGATTTGGATGAGTTTTCTATCCTTATTTGGACAAGTTAGGAGAAGCTTCTGAAGAAAGAAGAGGACGACTCAGACACCGAAGTTGGATCGGCCACTTGCTAGTGCCCTGCTGCAAAAAAGAGTTTTGCAAACAAGAAAGTTTTTTTTAATAGAAAGAAAGACTTTGTAATTCCTTTTTTGGGGTATATGAAAAAAATATGTTAGTTTTTTGCCTTATTTAAAATTGATTGTGATTTGATTAACCGTACGCTTACCTTGTGAGTTGGTTTTGTCGCCTTAACTGGCCGACTGGGTTAGTTCATTACTTCCGTTCGACTGGGTTGTCGCCTTCTGGGAGACTTGTGTTTGAGGCAATCTTTGTGACCTGATCTTGTCGCTTACTTTTAGAGTTAAACCCTGGACTTTAGATATCAAGTTCTTGCTAGCCGACACTTAGTTTTTTAAGGATTTTTTCGACTTTAAATCGTCAATTGTGAGTCGAAACGCCCTCTTGAACATTTTCCATAGTGATCGATTAGTGTATGCTAACTGATTGGTTTGCACGAGACCTAAGTTTTTACGTGTCACTGCCCTGTTCGGTCGATCAAGCCTTTACCTCAATCGGGTTTATTCTTTTTTCTAAGCGCGGATCTCATCTCCATCTGCTAGGGCTATCCTTGGGGACTTGTTCCCGAATGATTTACACATGCTCTTTCGCGGAGTTTGTCATCGGTGAACGGAGAACTATCTCTAGGGGCCTAACCTTTTGGACCTTAAAGGCTTGGGTTTGCGATGCGAAAGAGGTGCAAGTATTTAATAAATCCATCGTAATCGATTGCTAGGATTACTCATGTTAAAGTATGCAATTCACATATTATTATTATTATTATTATTATTATTATTATTATTATTATTTGTTTTTTACTTTTCCGAAGGATGTACCTATATTCCATGAAGTTTAGAATTGGTCGCCAGGCGGCTCTTATGGTGTCCCTTATTGGGTGGAGTTCCCCAAACGTTGAGAAATGATGATTGACCATTTCAGTTGATTTGTTGTCGTCACCCTGGTGGGTCGCTATTAAAGACTGCATTGATTGTGATATGAATTTATTTCCTCTTTTTTCTGGAAGTATATTGTTTACCTGTCCCGTTACTGTGCCCTATTATCTTTTCCCAAAGGGTCCTTAGCAAGCTTTTGTTACGAGATCTCTGTTGGGATTGTTGACCATTCCCCATATAAATGGGGGATGAGGTCTCCGCTTATTGTGTCCCCACTCAAAGGAAAGTTATTAGTCAGGGCAATGAAAATCTGGTTGGCTTTGCGAGGACTTGAAAGCGGAGGCGGCCTTCCGCAAACGGAAGTGACGGGACCTGCTTGAGCTATGTTTTAGTTTTCTTTTTCTTCAAATCGTGCGT